CGCGGGGAGCCGCCGCGCAGAAAGGTGGGTGCGCGCCCGGCCCGCCTGGGACCCCTGACCCTCGGCCCGGGGATGGGGGAGTGCGCCGCTGTCGCTGGTTTCTTTCGTTTGGGGGTGAGGGAGATTTTACATTGTTTTTAGTCGTTTTGTTCTTTATATTTTATTTTTTATGTATTTTTATTATTCGTCCTATTGATTATATTGTTTCATTATTTTAATTCATCCTACTCTTATTTTTCATTTAATTTATTGTCTGGGGGTTGATTTTTTCCCCTTATTTTTTATTTTATTTTTGTATGTTAATATTTTTCATTTTTATTTGTTTTTATTTGATTTTTAATGCACTTTTATCTTTATTTCATTCTTTTTGTTGATTTTTTTCTAACTTAATTTCGGTGGGGAGGGGCTTTTTTCTTTGTGGGGAACTGCGGGCTGGGGGCCTTGGTGCTGTGGAAGACAGGAGGCACCTTTTGAGGCAAGGGTTTCTCAGGCTGGTGTCTTGCATTGCTCTAGCCCTTCGTCAGAAATCCAAGTAGAAGGCAGGGGAGATTTGCACGTAGGCTGTCCAAAGTAGGTGTAAGTATAGGTGTCTCCAAAGATGTTTAAATGGAGATCAATGGATATGGATGGATGATGGGGAGAGAGAGAGAGAGAGAGAGAGAGTGTGTGTGTGTGTGTGTGTTGGGGCGGGGGGTTACATATTGTTTAAGTTAGATATTGGGAAAAACTCTCACTAAGAGGGTAGTAAAGCACCAGAACATGTTACCCAGAGAAGTGGTAAAATCTCCATCCTTGGAGGTTCTGGACACAGCCTTGGCTGGGATAGTGTAGTTGGGGCTGGTCCTGCTTTAAGCAGGGGGTTGGACTAGGTGACCTCCTGAGGTCCCTTCCAACCCTCACTTTCTGTGATTTTATGGTATACACACACACGTGTACATGTGCACACAAATGCATATATGCGTGCACACACCTATATTAGTACAGGCATGTTGCAACTTAAGCAGGGGTTAGGTTCCGAGGTCATCGCGTAAGGTGAAAATCACGCGTAGTCGAATCGCCAGCGATTTGACTAGTGGCAACTGCCTCTGCCTCCAAAACCTCCCCCTGCTGCCACAGAGCCGTGCTTGGAGCTGGCAGCGGTGCAGCACGAGGTGGCGGGGGGGGGATGGCTGCATGGCACTGGGCCACCACCACGCTGCCAAAACCTCCCACCGCCGCCGCAAACTGAAGCCCCACCCCCCCTACCCCATGTAAAGTTGAATTCACGCAAGTTAAATGCATGTATGACACGATTGTACTGTACAGGATTTTCTGAGCTGAAGTTTACATCAAATGTGGGAGAGATCTGGCCCTCTGGATGCATATGGCAGCATCTCTCCACCCACATCCCTCCCAGATGTATGGGTTGGGGGGTGTGGGGGGGGGGGGGGGGGCAGGGATCCTGCACAGAGGCATATATAGAAATTATCTACTTTGGTTAATCTGTAAAGTGTAAATCTATCTTGCTTTCCAGCCTATATTGGCCCAACTGCATAGTTGGGATAGAGTTAGACAAGCTTTTGAATGCAAGTCCTTCTTCTTCAGGTATGAAGAGTGAAAGCCAGCACAGCTTTGAAAAAAAACAAAACAAAACACAGCTTCAGGGGGGTGAGGGGGAAGAGAAGGCAACATTTGGTCACTGGAGTAAGGGGGCCAGATCAGGAAGTGTAAAATTGACTGTCACTTTCATCTCGGGCTCAGGGAAAGTGTCTGAAGCGAATGCTTGGTGCCAGTTTAAACATTCACAGTTCTGTATGTATATGTGAAAGGGAACAGATTTAACAAAGCAAAAACAAAGAAAATTAAAAAAAGGTTATTCAATTTAATTTGTTTCTGACAGTATGGCTAGACTTTGAAAGTGTTGTTCCTACAGGGTTTTTTTTGTCCTGTGCTTGTGACTTGAATGGGAAAGGAAAATATTTTGAAGTCACAAAAGGGGTCTGCAGTGGGACTTGGAGACGGGTGTACACATGGTTGATCTACATTTCAGTAATTTCTTGAACTGGCTGGGTCAGAGGTTGCCTAGGTGGTGTTTTACAGACCACAGTAACAACATAGCATTGGGTCTTTACTTTTGTTTCCAGGTAACTGCATTAAAAGAAATTAAGTATGGATTACTTCACATGTGAAAGTGATGCTAGAAAGCAATTGCTGTGATAGCTGCACAGTGGCTACATAGTGGGAGAAAGAGTAGTTCCAGAGGCAAAGCAGAAGTGCTGAGAGAGGCAGCACAACTCTGCACCACTACCACTGCTGGTCCCTAGCTCCAGCCAGGGTGCAGCCCCATGCCCTGCTGTTAGTGTAGAAATCGGAGGGGGCACCTGCCCCTGCCCCCCCATTCCCTTCTGAGGTGTCACCAATGGGTGGTTCATTTGTAATTCAGAAAGGAATTTGACAAGCCTTTTTTAACCTGTTAGTCCCCCAAGGAAGTGGTTGGAAGACTGCTCCCCACCCCCTTTGTTATTCAGTAGAGGTGCACTGATATGTTGGTCCAATATTGGATTGGCATCAATATAAAGAAAGTTGTCTGCATTGGAAATCAGTCTACTATGGCCAATAAATGGCCTGTGCATGCACAGCCACAGCGCACCATGTAGGCAGTGAAGAGCAGTGTCCAGCTGGTAAGTCTGTTGTGTTGGAAGGGAAGGGGTGGGGCATGAGGGAAGGGCAGATAAAAGCTCCACACTGTGAGGGAGCGGGGCTGGGGCAAGCACTGCCCAGCTGGAGCTATTGTTTGTTTTGCAGCATGCATGTGGGGAGAAATGCAGTCTGGTAACTTGGAGAGCAGCATCTGGCTAATAAGTCTGAGGGAGAAGGTGGGGAAAGGGATGTGTGGGGTGTGCAGATCGAGGCCCCCACAGTAAGGGAGGGAGTGGGGCAGGGGCAGGCACTGCCCTGCTGTGGCAGGGTGGGGCATGGGACAGAGCTGTGGGTGGTTTGTGTGGGGGGAGGAAGAACAGCCCCTGACACTACACACCCCTGGGGGAGGCAGGGGGGGCATATGTCCACCCCCCAAATCTGTGCGCAGGGCGAGAGCAGGCTGCCTGCTACAGGCTCAGGGCTAGGAGCTGTGCCAGCCTCTTTTCAGCAGGGGGGCTGGGGTGGACAGGGGCAGCAGCAAATTTTGGGGTGGCTGTAGTCCCCTCCAAGCCCCCCTCCCAGCACTGCTGCTGCCCACCCTACCCAAGCGCAGCCCTAGCCCAGACTCCTGCTGGGAAGAGATTGGTGCAGCTTGCCCTTACCCCACATGCAGATCCAGAAGGGCACAGGCCCCCCATACCCTCCCAGGGCGCATACAGTGTCAGGAGCCATCCCCCACCCCCACACCAGACGAGCTGCCCATGGCTCCATCCCATGCCGCAGCTTCACAGCACCTGCCCCACTCCCTCCCTCACTGTGGGGGCCTCAGTCTGCTCCCTCCACACCCCTTCCCCCCCACCCAGCAGACTTACTAGCTGGACATGCTCTGCTGCTGGGCTGCATGTCTGCAATCTGATCAGTGTCAGCCAATATGGTTGGTTAATAATTGGCCATAGGTATTGTCCTAAAACAATCTTTCAGTGCACCCCTAGTAAAGAGTTGCAATAGTCCTAAATGGTTAGAGTCCTGGATTTTAAGTAAAACACTTTTCCTCTGTAATCCATTGTTAATTCCAGAACTGTCATTATATTATATGCATGCCTGCCCCCACTCCCGGTCATGTTGAAAGAATATTAATAAGATTTGAGTACTTTAAGTTTTGTAAAGTTAGGAAGTGCCAGAATTAAAATTGCTTTCAGTCTTTAATTACAGGAATGCATGTTGTCCTTTCTACAAGCTTCATTCAGTGCATAGGAAGGCTGATACTCACTTAAAATAGCCATGCAGTATTTTTCTCTCATTCAGCATGTTGCTTTAAGCCTTATTTTACTATGCACTATTCAAAGCCTGATGTGAAGATAAAATTGTTCATTACCTCACAGACTTAACTCTGGAGTTTATCACTAGAACAGGGAGAATTTAAGCTGTTAGCTTATTATACATGTGGCTGTGTGTGAATTTGAGCCAAAATGCCAAAGAGTTTCAACTTCATTTTTCTTTTTGGTTGAAGTGAGACAACTTTTTACCCAATAACCCACTCTATAGGGCAGTGGTTCTCAGCCTTTTTTGTACCAGGACCCATTTGTAAATATTGATGGCCAGTCCTGACCTGCTGCCTCCAGACCCCCAGTGTGTTGGGGCAGGATGGCCCCCACGAACAGCCCCTTGCAGACTTCTTGACAGCCTACAAGGCAAAATTTACTGTTTCCCCATGTTTTCCTCCTTTAAACAAGAATTCATTTGTAAGAGTTGTGAAAACTTTTCACATATTTTTGCGACCCATGGGTTGAGAAACTGTTATAGGGTATTCTCAGGTGGGTTTTTTCTCTTGTTGAGCCGGTTGAACATATAAATATTTGTTGGTGCAGGGACTTGAACCCGAGTATCCTACTGCCCACATGAGCATCCTAACCATAGCGTCACAGGGCAGGATCCCCAGGGGTGGATGTGATGCTCCTGGCAGCTCTGCAACTGTGCCAGCTCCGTCTTGAAGGTGCCCTCTTGTCTTGCCCGCCACATCTTGCTGGTAAAATAAATTGGGAGGCAGCCCACAGGCCTTCACGTGGCCCTAGTCCACTGAACTTCACTTGGACTTGCTGGTCCTTGAGCCCTTCGCTGTCCTCAGTATTGTGCAGCATGGGGCACCTCAAGCCTTATGGGCTAAGTAAGCCATTGCCCATTAGGAATGACCAGGGAAAGGGGCAGGCAGGCACAGAGCACCGCCACCCACCACCCCACACCGCTGCTGTGCTACCATCCCCCTTGGCAGGCACTCCACACCACCACCCCCTCCAGGGAGCAGGGATGAGGGGGGGCAGCAGTGCTGGCCTCACCCCCTTGTTCTGTGCCCTCTGCCCCCACTATCATGATAGCACTCTGCTGTGCCACCACCTCCAGTCCAAAACACTCTTGGGGCACTCCGATTGGCTATCAGTAACCAATCAGTGTTCCAGTCGGAGTGCTCCAGGAGTGTTACAGACAAACAGATGGACTAA